GAAGGAAAACAAGGACTTGTTACCACGTGATATGATCGGTGCGCCTGAGTCAGGACCAAAGATCCGGAGACCGAGTCAGGACCAACAAAGGGGGGTACCTGTGCGATTTTTTTTATAACAGACGCAGAGTTGTGAAACTAGAGTGCTGACGGTCCTCATACCATTTGAGAAATTTCCTGAAAGAGTACAGGGTTATTTATGTATTTTATGAAGTAGGATGGTCTGCCGACGGTGATCAGGGAGGTGGATCAGAATTAGCCATTGCTATAGGTCGAGGAGAACGTCCATGAAGCGCATAACATCTATCAATTTTGTGGCCTAGCTTGTCACAGTGGTCACATTTTGGACGTCCTTTACCTGGTTGGCGAGACCGACTCTGATCATCAAGTTGGGCAGCCATGGAGAGGGAGAAACCCTAAAAATCCAAAGTGCTCCGATTGACGCAACGACCACAGATCCAGAAAGAGGGCGAGGAGAGGGCGATCACGGCGAGGGATGATCGGCGGCGGAAGAAATCTCCGGCGACGCGCCGGCACGCCGGCGGGAATCGGCGGCAAGCGGGGGTGACGGGTTGCGGCGACGCGTGGAGGCGCGTGGGTGGTCCGTTCGCCGCGATCTTTGGACCATGGTGGTCGCCCGGCCGAGACGATTCCGATGGTGTGGTCGTCGGTCGATTCTGGAACTCCGATGACGGCGATGGCAGCGGCGGCGGCGACTGCAGCGTCAGCGGCGGTGATGGGTACCGGAGACCGTGGAGTTGGCGGGAACTATTCCTGTGCTCCAGATACCATGTGAAATAATAGAGAAGATTAGGAGAAATCTCCCTTATGTGTTTAGCATACACATAGGGTAGTTTATTTATAATGTAAGATAAGGGTTAAACCCTAAATACAAAATGGGCTTAGCCCAATTAACATAAACACACAACTTAAAATCTAACAGTCACTCCTCTTGTTTGGGCGACTAGCATCTCAAACTCCTGCACATAATCCTCTATAAACCCTCGTTGTTGCAGCGATGCTAATTTTTCGAACACAGTTCCCCGCTCTCTCCCACCGAACCGCCGCACCACAGCATCACAAAATTCTTCCCACTTGGGTTCCGTTACCTTCGTCTTCCAAAATCGAAACCAGTAGTTGGCGCTGCCTTCCATGCAGACAAAGGCCAATCGGAGTTTCTCCTTTTCCCCTACCCCTTGGATCTCGAAGAATTTGTCCGCTCGAGCAATCCATCCCATCGCTGCCTTCCTCCGAGCTCTCTCTTCTCCCCTCCGAGCACTCTCTTATCCTCCGCCGATTGTCATTAATTGACCCCTGACTTCCTTCTGAATTCCGTTCTAGATTTCGCGCCAACCTCTCTACCACTCGCGTCAACTCTTTCAAGTCCTATCGAATGCCCATATTGTCTGCCTTCAATTCTTCTCCCGCTAGCTCCAACGCGTTCATCCTCCCTTCGATTCGGTTCTCCAATCCTCCCTTCCATCTTGCTCTCCCTCCAATTTGGATCCGGCAGGTCGGACCAATTATTAGGTTACTTTATACGAGTATCCTAAATCTACCTTCTCTTCTCACTCAAATACTCAAACAACACAAATGAAAGTATGTATGTATGTATGTATGTATTATTGATTCTGTAACATGAAAGAAAATACAAGTACAATCTTCCCCAAAGAGGCCTATTCTCCTCCACTGGCAAATATGGCCAGTCTATACCCAAAATGAAAATATATGATCCCTCTTCCCCTATTCTGAAATTATTTATACTCTTTCTCTCTATGAACAACTAACAAACTTCCCCGCTATTGAGTCGTTCGGTCATTAGCTCCCTCCAATGCAACACCGTTCGGTGTGAACACATTACCGTTCGGATATTACTTCAACATTTCCACTCGGCCTTCAATGTTACTGATCGGCCCTCCTCTTCTATTCCTCCTTCCATATCCACCGTTCGGTATCAATGTATATACGGTCCTTACTCCTCTTATATACTTTTAGCTTTCTAACATGATCAGAGTGGCAAATTAAGCATGGTGGTCACCAGAGAAAGACGGTCTTGATTGTAGTGGTCACCAGAGGCTCGGTGATAGATAACACGAGCACATAGTGGCCATTGTTAACCTGCAAAAAAAGATCCAAGACTGAAACCCTACGCAACTGATTCCATATAGAATTATATATGTTTTGAATGTATTGTGTATCTAATGTAGATCAANAAAATAAGATGTAGTATATTTAAATATATTAAATTATATTAAAATATTGAATTAGATTAAAAATTATTAAATTTTAAATAAAAAACAAAATTTTAAAGAAAAATTGTTAATGTAACCGATTTGGATATCTTAAAATTATTTTTTTATTTAAAATTTTATAATTGTTTAATTTAATTTAATATTTTAATATATTTAAATATATTAAATCAATTTTTTTTCATTATTACTATTTGATTTTAATTATTATTTTTTTAATATAGTTATTATAGTAATAGAAATTGTATTTTAATAATTATTAAGATACAAACATATATTAAATAATATTAAAATTTTAAATTCAATTATTATTAAATTTTAAATCTAAAAATGAAATTTGAAAAAACTTATAAATTAGATTTGGAAATCTCGTTGTGACTTTAATAAAAAAGAAAAAGAATAAAAATATTTATTAAAATTAAAATAATTTTTTTAAAAAAGTTGATGTAGGTCGAGATGTTGGAGGGTAAGGGAAAACAATTCCCTTATCTTATTGTCATTTTTATCGGGCTGGACCATTGCAAATGTTAAGCCCTGATAAAGCAATTGAGAATTTTGAATAAAATTAAAATAAAATAGAAGAAGGCGATAAAGTAGTAGTATGAATGGTTCATGTCATTAATTTTTTAAAAGGTTTAATTTGGATATCCAAATTTTTGTGAAATTGTCTCAAATTTTATTTGATCGGACTGGACTGACTGCCCAATTTTTAATAACATAACATAGTGTGATAGTCTTCGGTGGAATTTTTTTTATTTTAAACTTTAAATAAAACATAGACCTGACTCCGGGACTCCTCGCCGCACTCCAGGGAGATTAACTTCGGCTTGTAGAGAACCAACCATTCTTCTTTCTTTTTCTTGGTATTGTTGCGGCTCCGCAGGAAGGAGAAAACACCTTTCTTCTATCTTTACTTTGAGGTCTTCATGGTGGTGCGATCCGGCATGAACGATGGTGGATTCATAGGGTTATACTGTCGTGTTTTATCACGTTGAGCCGCAAAGAAGATCTGATGGTTGTCGCGTTTTGCGAATTTGGGGATTAAGATTTTCGGAATTGGAAATTTGAGAATTTTGGAGGTTTTGAAATTTGTTCTTGCAAATTGGGGTTTTTGGTTCTTGCGTTCTGATCTTGAAATTGGGGATTAGGGTTTCTAAATTTGGGATTTTTCCTTTTGGGGTTTTTGTTCTTGATTTTTTTGATGTTGCGATTGGAGGAGTTGGGATTTTTCCTGAGGTTTTTGTTCTTGATTAGCAAAAGGTCTTTGAATTAGAACCCGTGTTCTGCAAATGGGACAGATGGGTGTGTGGAGAATCCATGAGTCTATACAGTGCAGATGGAAGGTGTGGTTGCAATTGGGCAATAACCTGCATAAATCACCAACCTNGGCAAATTAAGCATGGTGGTCACCAGAGAAAGACGGTCTTGATTGTAGTGGTCACCAGAGGCTCGGTGATAGATAACACGAGCACATAGTGGCCATTGTTAACCTGCAAAAAAAGATCCAAGACTGAAACCCTACGCAACTGATTCCATATAGAATTATATATGTTTTGAATGTATTGTGTATCTAATGTAGATCAACACATTATGTATTTATACTATTTTACAGAATTAATTATAATAAAAACACTTAATAATTAGGAATCGATCATCCTAATTTCCTATATTATGTAGGGGTTAATTTCCTCAAATCTGTAATAGCTGATTACATTCTAACAGTATAAAAGATCTAATTGTTTCTTTCATCATTTGGTTTCTCTTATAGGTTCTTCCTAGATGGGTTATATACCATGAACTAGTACTCACAACCAAGGAATATATGAGACAGGTAATTCCAACTGTTACCTATTTCATGTTTCATGACTTTTTTCGATGGATATCTGACAATAGCTGAAACTGAATACTCATGTTTCAGGTGACAGAATTAAAGCCGGAGTGGTTGGTGGAGATTGCGCCCCACTATTACCAGCTTAAGGATGTTGAAGACTGTATGCTTTCTCTCTCTTTCTCATATTGCTATTATATTTTTAGAAGGAGTTATCAACATTTCCCCTTTGAGCATTAATCAAGTTTTCTTTATAAATATCATAAAGAGTCCTGTTATTGGATTCTGGCTATGATCCTGGCATTAGTTTGTGGATGTTATCCCACATGTTTTAATGATGATTCTAATTTATAGGTTGTCATACTGTTAATGCATTTTTAGCTGTTTAGTAGTACGTGAGAAAAATACAAATAAATTAGAATGAATTTGGGAGTATGTATTGCCTTCTCTTAGGTTTTCATATTTATTTATAGTAGTTTTTGAGATACATCAAATACTGTGAATGAGAGGGAAAACTAGATGGTTCTAGAATATGTTCCTAGAAACTAGGTTTAACACAAAGCATTCTTCTAGAAACTAGGTTTAGGCGATCGGAAAAGAAAGAAATAGTGAATTTATTCAAGATAATTATGTACTTACAAAATACCTTCTCAATTCATCCTATTTCATCCTATCGAGGATGTGATATGGTTCCAAAGGGTGAACTAGACAGTTCCAATAAGATTTCATTCTTGAACAAAAATCCGATATACTTTTTGGAGGGAGGGTCCCATTGGCGTGCATCCAGTAGGAATTGAACCTACGAATTCGCCAATTATGAGTTGGACGCTTTAACCATTCAGCCATGAATGCTTAGCGGGAATCCTCGTATATGGTGAATAACCAAATTCCAATTGAAGTGAAATCTTTCGGATAAATCAATGCAATTAGGAGGATTCGATGAAAGGACATCGATTCAAATCTTGGATTTTTGAATTGAGAGAGATATTGAGAGAAATCAAGAATTCTCGCTATTTCTTAGATTCATGGACCCAATTAAATTCAGCGGGATTTTTCATTCATATTTTTTTCCATCAAGAGAGTTTTATAAAACTCTTGGACTCCCGAATTTGGAGTATCCTACTTTCACGCAATTCACAGGGTTCAACAAGCAATCGATATTTCACGATCAAGTATGTAGTACTCTTTGTAGTAGCGGTCCTTATATATCGTATTAACAATCGAAAAATGGTCGAAAGAAAAAATCCCTATTTGACAAGGCTTCTTCCTATACCTATGAATTCCATTGGACCCAAAAATGATACATTGGAAGAATCATCTGAGTCTTCCAATATCAATAGGTTGATTGTTCCGCTCCTGTATCTTCCAAAAGGAAAAAAGATCTCTGAGAGTTCTTTCCTGGATCCGAAAGAGAGTACTCGGGTTCTCCCAATAACTAAAAAGTATATCATGCCTGAATTTAACTGGGGTTCGCGGTGGTGGAGGAACTGGATAGGAAAAAAGAGCGATTCTAGTTGTAAGATATCTAATGAAACCATCGCTGGAATTGAGATCTCATTCAAAGCGAAAGATATCAAATATCTGGAGTTCCTTTTTGTATATTATATGGATGATCCGATCCGTAAGGACCATGATTGGGAATTTTTTGATCGTCTTTCCCCGAGAAAGAGGCGAAACATAATCAACTTGAATTCGGGACAGCTATTCGAAATCTTAGTGAAAGACTGGATTTATTATCTCATGTTTGCTTTTCGTGAAAAAATACCAAAGGAAGTGGAGGGTTTCTTCAAACAACAAGGGACTGGGTCAATTATTCAATCAAATGATATTGAGCATGTTTCGCATCTCTTCTTGAGAAACAAGCGGGCTATTTCTTTGCAAAATTGTGCTCAATTTCATATGTGGCAATTCCGTCAAGATCTCTTCGTTAGTTGGGGGAAGAGTCCGCACGAATCGGATTTTTTGAGGAACATGTCACGAGAGAATTGGATTTGGTTAGACAATGTGTGGTTGGGAAACAAGGATCGGTTTTTTAGCAAGGTACGGAATGTATCATCAAATCTTCAATATGATTCCACGAGATCTAGTTTCATTCAAGTAACGGATTCTAGCCAATTGAAAGGATCTTCTGATCAATCCAAGGATTCTTTCGATTCCATTAGGAATGAGGATTCGAAATATCACACATTGATCAATCAAAGAGAGATTCAACAACTAAAAGAAAGATCGATTCTTTGTTGGGATCCTTCCTTTCTTCAAACGGAACGAACAGAGATAGAATCAGAGCGATTCCTTAAAATCCTTTCTGGATATTCCTCAATGTGCCGACTATTCATGGAACGTGAGAAGCAGATGAATAATCATCTGCTTCCGGAAGAAATCGAAGAATTTCTTGGGAATCCTGCAAGAGCCACTCGTTCTTTTTTCTCTGACAGATGGTCAGAACTTCATCTGGGTTCGAATCCTACTGATAGGTCTACTAGAGATCAGAAATTGTTGAAAAAAGAACAAAAGAAACATCTTGCTTTTTCCAGGCGATCGGAAAAGAAAGAAATAGTGAATTTATTCAAGATAATTATGTACTTACAAAATACCGTCTCAATTCATCCTATTTCATCCTATCGAGGATGTGATATGGTTCCAAAGGGTGAACTGGACAGTTCCAATAAGATTTCATTCTTGAACAAAAATCCATTTTGGGGTTTATTTCATCTATTCCATGACCGGAACAGGGGGAGATACACGTTACACCACGATTTTGAATCAGAAGATATATTTCAAGAAATGGCAGATCTATTCACTCTATCAATAACCGAGCCGGATCTGGTGTATCATAAGGAATTTTATTTTTCTATGGATTCCTCCGGATTGGATCAAAAACATTTCTTGAATGAGTTATTGAACTCCAGGGATGAATCGAAAAAGCACTCTTTATTGGTTCTACCTCCTCTTTTTTATGAAGAGAATGAATCTTTTTATCGAAGGATCATAAAAAAATGGGTCCAGACCTCTTGCGGAAATAATGTGGAAGATCCAAAACCTAAAATAGTTGTATTTGCTAGCAACAACATAATGGAGGCAGTCAATCAATATAGATTGATCCGAAATCTGATTCAAATCCAATATAGCACCCATGGTTACATAAGAAATGTATTGAATCGATTCAATTGCAACTTCGAATATGGAATTCAAAGGTATCAAATAGGAAATGATACTCTGAATCATCGAACTAGAATGAAATACACGATCAACCAACATTTATCAAATTTGAAAAAGAGTCAGAAGAAATGGTTCGATCCTCTTATTTTGATTTCTCGAACGGAGAGATCTATGAATTGGGATCCTAATGTATATAGATACAAATGGTCCAATGGGAGCAAGAATTTCCAGGAACATTTGGACTATTTCATTTCTGAGCAGAATAGCCGTTTTCAAGTAGTGTTCGATCGATTACATATTAATCAATATTCGATTGATTGGTCTGAGGTTATCGACAAAAAAGATTTGTCTAAGTCACTTTGTTTATTTTTGTCCAAGTTACTTCTTTTTTTGCCCAAGTTTCTTCTCTTTTTGTCTAACTCACTTCCTTCTTTTTTCTTTGTGAGTTTTGGGGGTATCCCCATTCATAGGTCCGAGATCCACATCTATGAATTGAAAGGTCCGAATGATCCACTCTGTAATCAGTTATTAGAATCAATAGGTCTTCAAATCTTTCATTTGAAAAAAAGGAAACCCTTCTTATTGGATGACCAAGATACTTCCCAAAAATCGAAATTCTTGATCAATGGAGGAACAATATCACCATTTTTGTTCAATAAGATACCAAAGTGGATGATTGACTCATTCCATACTAGAAAGAATCGCAGGAAATCTTTTGATAACACAGATTCCTATTTCTCAATGATATCCCACGATCCAGACAATTGGCTGAATCCCGTGAAACCTTTTCATAGAAGTTCATTGATATACTATTTTTATAAAGCAAATCGACTTCGATTCTTGAATAATCAATATAACTTCTGCTTCTATTGTAACAAAAGATTCCCTTTTTATGTGGAAAAGGCCCGTATCAATAATTCTGATTTTACGTATGGACAATTCCTCAAAATCTTGTTCATTCGCAAAAAAATCTTTTCTTTTTGCGATGGTCAAAAAAA